AAAAAAAAAAAAAAAAAAAAACACAAGAAAAACTTCTGTTTAAATAAGGGCCGCCAAAATGATCGGCCAAGTTAGAGGCTAAGAAGAAACTGAAGAATAAAATGTTTTAGTGTGTGAGAGGAATATACTATATATTTTCAATTGAATTAAAAGAAAAAGTATAGCTGGATGGATTGTGGAACAAACAACTCTATTTAAAATGAGGCACAAACGCTTCAATTTACTGTTGATTTTCTCAAAATAAAGCATACGGGTAAAAAAAATAGACATAAGTAAGTAAAATTAGCGTATAGGTCCTTTATCAATTTGCAAACCGAGCCCATTACTTTTTTTTTTTTTTTTTTTTGGTAGGGAACCAACAAGCTTCTGACATAACTCTGGCTTTGTTATTTTTGTTATTTTACATATTTACAGAAAAACTATATATTTTTTTATCTTAAAAGCAAAATGTATGCATTTGTTTGTACAGTTTCGTCTTAATTACTGCTCTATGTAGCTTGTTCTTTCAGAAAATGACATGACTTTAGAGTCTATATAGTCTGCTTAATGATTAATCAATTACTAAATTAGTTGAGAATTATTTCCAACATTGATTAATGATGGTTAAGACGAATAACTGTTTTAGACCTATTTTCAAAGCTTGAATGGATAAAGCACAAGTGTACTGAAAACCAACAATATTCAGCCAGAATAATGTCTGAATTTGCAGATGTATTTTCAAATTACATGGTCAAAAAGTCTTTCAATAAATTTAAACTGCATTGTATTATTATTTTTGCTTCAACTTTAACATTTTCAATTTTGTCTTCTTCGCTTTTGAGCAACTCATAGAAAATGGCTGGCTCAGTTTCTTGAGCATCTGTCGCCCCCTGGTGTCCGAACCCTCGAACTACAACGTCGAAAAACTCGCCATCTCCGGTACAGACCTTGACGACCTTGTCGGTGCCGGAGGTGAGCAGGTTTCCCGTGGTGGGCTCGTAGTGCATGTAAACAATGTTGTGCTTGCTGTCGTGGAAGGTGGCGGTGGGAGCTCGGCTGAAACGCACACAGAGGGAGAGAAGAGGCAGAGACGTCAGCGTGAGAGCGCCAGGGGGGACGCCGGGAGCACAAAGGGACAGTATACGGCATCGACAGAGGCTGATTGTGACTCACTCTTCATCGGTGATGGACTCGTGGCAGCTGTCACACACTCGCACCTCAAACTCGAAGCCCATGAGGGGGATGGTGGAGCGCTTGGACGAACATTTGCCGCACACGGCCTGGCCGCACTTTCGGCAGTGGTGCTGAGGAAAACATGAGAGGCTAAGTGTTGCGAAAGCTCATATGAAGACCCTCATTTCTCATCAGTGAGCCAGAGAATAAAGTCAGTCTTTGGCTTTGGACCTTCCATAATGGTTCTTAAAAACTCTGGTTTAAAATGGTAAAAAGAAAAAAAAAAAAATCAACTAGTGTTTTAATTAAAAAAGTAATAAATGCTGGGGTTTTTTCATGCAATAAATTGATTGTCCAAAACCAAATACTATTTTGAATAGCAATGATATTGTTTGATTTATATTTTCTTTGTCATTACGTTTGAAACGATGAACTTTTTTCGGATTTAATTTTTCATAAATGTCAACATCCCACAAAGAAAACGTATCCGTCTTCTTTAAAAAATAAATAAATAAAAAAATTCTATGCTTTCACTGTATTTTAAAATCTAGAAGCAGAAATAAAATTTGGTTCTTTAAAAATTACAACTGACCTGAAGTACAGATTTTTTTGCTATTTTTTTAATGATCTTGTGACTTTTGCAGCTCTAAACAATTCCTAATTAGCTGGATTAAAAGCAAATATGGCTCTTAGGATTGTAAAAGTTACATATATAGAGTCTCTGAGTTGAATCTTTTGCAGGAAGCTTTTTGTAACAGTAGATCTAATATCACCTCTTACATGTGCAATGTGTCAGACTGATGATGAGGAGCATATATCTGCCTTAGGGAAATGAGAGCTTTGCCTGTTACAACACAAACCCCACAGATAGAAAGTCAAAGCGTTCTCCAACGCTAATCGAATGGTCGCCCGGCCAACCATCGCAGGTGCTCATAAAAGATGCAACATTTATGTAAACTGAACGCCGGAGGAGCGGAGACTGCAGGAGAAATGCAGTTTGTTTGCAAAAAATACAATTACCAAGTACTTTCTACTGCAAACATCTTAACACACTTGAAATAAGACAAAACTAACTTACAAGTAACTTTTCAGCAAGATACAGGGCTCGTTTTAAGTAAATAACTCCTTAATATTGATGAAAAAGTTCTAGTTGTAAGTCTGGAACAATGGAACGAGTCATTTTTCCCATTTTATAAGTGAAATAATTTGCAAATGGAACTTGTACTTTTGGTGTAAACATTCCTGTAAAGAAGGCTTTTGTGATATAAAAAAAAAATCTCTAAACATTTCAAATGTTTTGTACAATTCAGATGGAAATCAAATCTAGCAGAAGTTCTCCAAGTCTACTGGATTCAAAGAACAACAGGCTGGACTCTGCCAAGTTATTCCAAAACTTATTGTTCCTTCTATGAATCCATTGTTTTGGAGATTTGGGTGAAACTACCAAACTTTGGATATATATACCTAAACTTTTGACCCATTTTGACAAGGGAAAAACAACAATAAATTGCCAAAAACTACCAACATTATGTTGTCAGTTCTTTCTGCAGCACTTGGGAAAATGTTGCCACTTTGTCCAAAAACCCTGAACACAACCAGAAAACACTCTTAAAGGAGTAAACGCAACATGAAGCCGTTTACGAGAAGTCGGCAATAAAAGAGCCGCAGGATGTTTTCTCAGCATTAGCGTGGCAGAAGTGAAGGGCTCTAGGAATGTTTTCTCTGGAATAACGGGAGGGATACGGTCATGCACGGCTGCTCGAGCAGAAAGAGAGAGGCTATTCCCGCCCGATGATAAAAGCCGAGGGAGTTCTGGGTCAGCCAGCGTGACGTACCTGTCGCAGGCCGATCTTCTTACTGTCCCACATCTGTTTGAAGTTCCAGAAGAAAGGCTGCTCACACTTCTGACAGGAGTCGCTGTCCAGCCACTCTGGAGTCTGCACACATGCATGATACAAAAAATTCCCAATGTTGAAACAAAGAATGGGGAGAGTTAGGAAACAAAATTGGCACGCGATCAGAAATTGCTGATTTTATGCCCCGATTGGTGAACAGCCAATTCCGCCCAGCGACTTTAGCTGTTTCAGCTGTGCATTAAAAAATGTCAGAGAAAGCACAATTCTGATAAACCAACACACTCAGAGCAGCCATGAAGCAAAAACTGAGCAAAAATATATCTACATTCACATTTGATTACAAATTAAAAAATGTTTTTGTCTGAAAAATGTTTTACCCAGAACTCAAGTGGCATAGATTTAGCTTCACCTGGTTCACATTCTCTTAGAAAAATATGGTATTTAGCACAATTTGCTATCCAATTATTAACTGGATAACCAAGAAATAGTAAACAGATCAGCCCTACACTGTGCTGATGCTAAGTGAAGCAGTAAGGAGTATTTTTTTTTAGCTGAGTGAGGATGCATCCTTTACTACAAATCATTAAGTGTTGGCTGAAGTATTGCTGCTATTGTATTTCACACAATAAAATGTTTATTTTCCTTTTTTAAAAAAGACTTGAATTATTTATTTGCATCTCTTTATGTATTTCTAACACTGTATAAAAACGGATTAAGGCGTTAAAGGAAAATTATGCAGAAAGCGCCAATTTTTTCATCCATCGATAGAATAATCGATCACTAAACTAATCGTTAGTTGCAGCTGTGGCCCGAAGCAAAATTCACATCGGTTTGTAGAGCTCTATCCAGATTGTGTCGCCTCTTTCACCACAACTGATATAAAAACTTTTCCTCGGTGACTCCAGTCTTCCTAAAAACCCCAAAAATAACTTCAAGCTGAAGTTATTGGGGGATTTTTATTGAGCCTCAGACATTTTGTTGTTTCTGTTGTTGTGAAACCAGGCCACCAAGTCTGTTTTTCCTGTGCTGTAGGTCTTCATGCTACAAACGGATGGCTCTGCCCCGACTCCGGATCCGTGTTTATCACACAAACACGAGAGCGGCAGTCAGCCAAATGTGTCAAGTGATTCTCGTAAACAAGGTAATTCAGCAAAAAAACATTGAACTTTGGTTTAACCTTTGCAAAACACTGATCCGGCAGAGGCAGTGAAAATACTTTGTATTCCAGCAGCGAGTGTTTCTCTGCTGGAGAAGATGCTGTTTCAGAGCAGAGCAGAGAGGTTTTGGGCGAAACACAGAGGCAAAAATGTGGGTCTGATTAAATAAAGACAAAACTAGGTCCCAGCTAACTGTGTGGAGACAAGTGGAGCAAAACAGGAAAACAAAGAACGCTCCTCCACGGCTGCCAGCGGCTGAACTGATCTTCATTTGCTTCTCTTTAGAACGATTCGGTGCGCTGAGTCGACTTCGATGTCAGCAGTTACACGCTCACCTCTTGCCGAGTCACGTCCATGTTCCAGATGACGATGCTGCCATCTGAGCTGCAGGAGATGAGCTGGCGGGTGTGTGAGGCATAGCACAGGCCCTGGACTTTGTCACTGACAACAGTTCACACACACACAATAAAACAAATCTTAAATGAGTCAACGAAAGCTAAAGTTGGGCTTCGCGTCGTCGAAACCTGCTTCAAATCTGTTATTTACAAAAGCTGAGAACAAACTCAGAGCTAATTGGTTCGTCCTGCTGAAGGTGAGCGTTTCCTACTTGTGTCCCTGCAGTTCGATGGCGGTGCCTTTCCTCCCTCCGATGTCCCACATGATGATGGAGTGGTCAGAGCTGCCGGAAAACAGCACCCGCTGAGCCGGGTCCCAACACAGCGCCGTCACGTTACCTGCCGAGCAAAGACGAGTTCATGAAATAAATCCTCCCGTTTTTGAACATACTTACGCATATATAAATACACCTAAAACAATCTGACGAAAACTGTGGAAAAGGTGGCATTTTTTGAACTGATAGTCTTCTTGTCTAAATGTCATGACTATGAAAAAGTTATGGCAAACTATTTTGGGACTACAGTCTGAACATGTGCAGCATTTCGTAAGCTACAAAAGGATGAACCATCAGCTTTCCAAACCAAGACTGTTATTCCCATACTTCTTAAATAAATAAGCTAGCTTGTTTATTTGCTACCCAGGGTTCCTGAAGGTTTCACCAACTCAAATTTAAGACTCCAAGTATGAATGTAGCACCTGATGTGTAGCATCCAGTGGTGAACACGAACACCGTTCAGCCAACTGGCAATAAGTTTGCACTTACCCAAGATAGATGCAAAAAAGCTGACTAGCAAGTTTTGTAGCTAGTCACTAGTAATTAGCTGCTAATATTCCTTTCCTAGCTATGTAGCTAGTTAGCAAGCTGCTAATATCCCCTTGCTAGCTAGATACATAATGTATTAATACAATGGTATTAATAGATACCATTTTACTAGATAATCCATATGAGAAGTAAGCCTCTTCAATCAGTCAGTACATAGCAAGCTAGCTATGTAGCTAGCTAGCAAGGGGATATTAGCAGCTTGCCAACTAGCTACATAGCTAGCAAGGGGATATTACCACCTATTTACTGGTAGCAAACCAGACAAACTTTCGTGTGATTGGAATGTCCTGCAGGAAAAAGAAAAACTACACAGAATATACTAGATTAAATAGTCCCGCCACAACAAAGTAATTTAAGACCTGTGATTAATGAATTTAAGACCAACTTACATTTTTATGAATTAAAGAGATTTTAAGGCCTTAATTTTAGGCATATCCATATAAGACCTTTTCAGGACACACGGACATCCTGTTAAACATTATTTTAGTAAAATCATACCGGATGCAATTTTTTCATTTTTACTTATAGAGTCAGATTTCCTGTTCATAAACAGCATTTTTTTTTTGTCAGTTTAATACTCACTGGAAATGTTTAACCCACATTCTGATTAATTTAAATGCATTGGTAAGCTATGAGGCTGAACTAATTTAGCATAACCAACGACACTGACTGGTTGAAACTCTCTCCACATCGGCTGTCACCAAGGCTCATCTCCGTCACTTTTTAAGTTTGCACCATGAGGTCTTAATCAGTATCAGATAAGGTCTGCGTCACTGAGCGAATCACTGAGCCGTCCTTCCAGCAGATAAGTTAAATAAAACCCCCTCTGATCTGTGGCAGGATGTTTTCTCTCTTTTTTTTTTTTCTTACTCATCAAACCTGTTTTGCATTGATTAAATAAGAAAATAATTGAATTTTCTCATAAAAGTTTGCATTAATATGTACTTATACTAATAGCTTACTCCCTGCTATTAGACATTTTTACTTAGCTATTTGTTAAGCTCATTTCATTTGATAACAGCTTAAATTTTTGTAATACAAACAAAGGAACCGAGTGTGTGTGGGTGTATTGGTGTGATGTACCTGTGTGTCCTTTGAAGGTGGTAACCATGCTGCAGCTGTCCTGCTCCAGCTTCAGGATGGTCACCTGACCAGACTGGTCCCCTACAAAGGCGTGCCTGGTCTCTACATCAAACCTGGTCGAAGGTTAAGAAACAATTCACCGAACAAACAAGAGTTGATTGTAATTAATGAGCTCTGCGTTTTACCAAAAAGTCTGCACCAAACGTGTCAGCTGCTGCATGTGATGCTTAAGTGAAAGTTGTTTTCGGAGGTTTGTCTCAGGCTGCGGGCAACGTTTACCCTCCCCAACCTGTTAGTTCACCACAAGGCTCAATCATTGCCACATGGCTGCAGAAAGGAGTAAGTAAAAAAAAAAAAAAAAACAGGCAAATTTCCTATAACAATGTTCAACCAAAGGAAAAAAAAATAAAAAATAGACATTTGATTTTTTGCCTTGCCAGAGATTCTGTATAGTTTTTAAATCTTTAACTCATGAATGTGTTTTGATTTGAACCATTCCCTTGTAGCTCTGCCAGTGTTTTTAGCGTTTTCTCCCACGACTCTCTTATATTTAGCTTCTGCCTACAAACTGTCACCAGCTTCCTTGACCTAGCTGAAAAATAGCATCCCCCCACAGGATGATGCTGTCACCACCATGTTTTTTTCTGCACCACATGTTTTTAATGTTGGCTAAAAAAACAAAAAAGCTAAGTTTGGGTCTTGACAAACCAGAAACTTCCTTCAGCGTTCCCTGACAAACTGCAACCCAGATGTCTGACGACTTTCAACATCAGCTTTCTTCTAGACACTCTTCCTTAAGGTCTACATTTGTTAAAGATCTGGGTTCTTCAACTATCTGTAGTGATTAAAACAAATAAACAAAAGCAAGTTTGCATACTGGATTACAAGACAGATGCCAGTTTGGCTCATAATTTATGTGCTTTATTTTAAAAAATTAAATTCCCAATTTTTCCGGGCTCAAGTTTCAAGCTTTTTCAGACATTTGAGTGGAAAGAAAATGATTTACCTAGTTGTGTTTTACAGTCTGTATGGTCAATATATTATGAAACTGAGGTTTCTGATCCAGCAGTGTGGTAAAGGTCACTGCTTAATTCAATCTCTCTTAACAAGTTAAATCTGCTCCACTTCAAAATCCATCACACTTAAATTTCCCAAAACTGTATAAATCTGTAAAACCTTTATCATGTAGGTCAAGAAGCCGAAGATGCAATTTGTAAGCCTAAATCAAAAAAAAAAAAAATTCTTTACAGTCTGTTTTTCCTTTCAAAACATATTTTTAGCTTTCACATTTTAAACTAATACAATTACAACCCAAAACATACAACTAATTTCTGAAAACGGCAGCAGCTCAAAATATTAAAAACTGTTTTCACACGAACCTCGAAAAAACAATATGTTGAGATGTTTCAACTCACAGCTAAACGATCCAAATTGAATTTAAATCATTTTAAGAACTGCTCTACTGTGTAGAAATTCAGATTTGTTTTCTTTCAGATGACACAATAAGAGATAAAATGTGGAAAGCGGGAACTTGTTTTCCTATTGATCTTTTTTCTATGCTTAAAATAGTCCAGCTGCAGAAAATCTAAAAGAATAAATAAATAGACTCCAGACTTTCCCAGACATCATTGGATCCCTGTAGTCTAATGTTTATTATTTATTATTTCTTGTAAAGAAAAAAAAACAGACTATGATAAATACTTGCATCATCATATTCATACTGTGGTTAGATTTTTATAGACGTGGATTCATGGCGTTAAAATGCAAGCTCCATCGTTGAATAGAGTCTCCTTATGCAGTTGCACGTATTTCATGGGATGATGGTGTTTCTTAGTGCCCATTAAAATCATTCAACATTTTTGCTTAATTGACCTCAGAGACCTACATGTGATTTTTCTTTATTTATAATCCACTAACGTCCTGCATCTGCCTGGAAAACAAATTCATCCTCGGTGTAACACCATTAATGTGAGTTTAATGCCGACTGGCAGCAAACATCATACCCACTTACTTCCACTACGCCAACACAGCCTCCAGAAAAAAAAAAAGAAAAAGAAAAAAAAAAAGTCTCCGCCGGTTCCACACACTGCCAAACGCGCTGCCAGCGAGCCGAGGCAGGATATCATCGCTGCGATGACCCGACGGCGGGTTCATTTGTATGGATCGGTGTTACTGCCGAGCACTCGCAGCCTTTCATCTGCCCATTACAGAAACCCACTCAGACAGTTTCCTTGACAGCAGCATGACTGATTCGTATTGTTAGTCCCTTCCATTAGCACAAACCCACTGGAAGTTAATCTCAATTGCCCTGTTTATTTTTTCTTCTTCTTCTTCTAATTGCTCCGTTCTTAAATTAGAGCGGGCTTTCATAATTATAGACGGTTATTTATTTGTTTTTTACCAAATTCGAAGCCCTTCGTGTGAACGTTCGCCCCTGCATGGCGAGGTGACCTGCAGATGACGATAACAGGAGGTGTTGGAGGATACTGCAGTCCTGAGACCCAGGCCGCGGTGCGGTACGTCCCCAGCTGCTGGCCGCTCTCCGAGCAGTGCCAGGTGAAGTTTCTGTCCTGGCCGGTGCTCAGCAGCCACTCCATCTCCAACACAAAGAGCACCACCGCCACTCGGCCCTGATGGGCTGCAGGCACAGAGAGCAGACAAAAACGATCTGGTTAAGATCGATCAGCGTTGCGGTACGGGAGCCTGCGTTTGGAGTGAATTATAATCGGGAAGGAATTGTGAACACAGAGAATAAGAGACACAAGAAACCGAGATAACACTGCGTAGCATCATAACGTTATAACATGCCATAGAAAAGTGCAGTAAAGCCCGATTATTGGGGTTAAAAACCCCAAGAAATGAAAGCATCTTGATCCGATGAGAGAAGTTTTCGTTCCTCTTCAAACTGTGTCTTGCTACAAATACAAGCTTCAATATTTAGTTGGACGTTACTAGTGGGGGGTCTTGATTCAGATTTTAATTTAATTCATTGGAGTTTCTGTATTTAATTAATATCAATTAATCACATTTTAAACTATATCTGCATAGCAACAAAATAACTACAATTTTAAATCCAAAAACCATTTTTGCTGTTAAATTATTGAATGAATAAACATGTTAGCTCAACAACAGACTTTATTGTTTGTAATCTGTTATTTAGGTTATTCAAGCGTTATTAAACTTCCACGTGCATTCATGTAACTACGTCGAAGAAAAATCCTTCTTTAAAAAGGCGAACTCTGGACGCCGACGTTGTTTGCGAACGCCTCTAGTGCGTCAGATTAACGGGCGTACCAGAAACGCGCGAATACAAAGGTTCTGGCCTGAGCGTTCTTTTTTTTAAAAAGAAGAAAAAAAAACAATATGATTAATTGCATGACAATGTTTAGCGCCTTAAAATCTATGCAATTAATTAATTAAACAAAAGTCCAAGACCTGAATTTTATGTGACAGACCAGCAGAAAGCAGAGCATAACATCGAAGTGGAAGGAAAATCTGAAAAGTGTGACGGCCGTTTGTTTTTTACCGGCCTCTGAGGTTTGTTAGTGAACATTAGTGAACAAACAGCATCATGAAGACCAAGAAAACCAGCAGACGGGTCAGGGAGGCTGGTAGATGATGGATGGAGCTAATAAAATATGTCAGAAGCTGCAAAAGTCTTGAGTCTGGGTCGCAGGGTCACCTTCCAGATTTACACATAACCCTAAACATAAAGCTGGAGCTACAGTGGAATGGTTTAGATCAAGACGTTGGAACGGCATCATCAATGTTCACAAGCACTCTCCATTTAATCTGACTGAGTCTGAGATATTTTACGAAGAGGAATGGACAAATAACTCATTCATTCATTTATACATTGATGTATGTGACAAAATGTGGAAAAGTTAAAGGGAGTGTGTATATTTCTTGCAATGTACTGTAGGAATACAGGAATGATGTTCAGGTCTTCTAAGATTAAACATTAATTTCTGTTTTTACAAACTCCCGGTTTGCCTCAAAATATGGGAAATAACCGACAAATAAAAAGCGTCGCGTCTCACCCTGATATGTGAGCCCCGGGGTCATTTTGTTGTAGTCCTCTGACAGAATAAACTCCTGAAAGACAGAAAAACAGAGAGGATTGTTTGCACCCAACGAGGTCAATGATAAAAATGACCAAGAGACACAGAACACGAGGTGAAAAGTAAACACCGTTTCATCAAAACACGACTGTGAAGGACTGGAGAACCTGCAGGCCAGTGCAGAAAGAAACAAGTTGTTCTGCACGACAGCTTCCTCTGAGGCAACGACTATATTTAAAACCCTTGTGGGAGCTTTTCAGATTTCAGGTTCTGAGATTAAAATCTGCAACGTGCTGTTGTGGCCTCGTCCGATTTTTCCCGTGGAGTTTTCTCATTCCAAATTAAAATACCAAAAATCAAACCCCATGACGATGCTTTGCATCAAGTTTATTTTGTCAAAAAGACCACAATCTTTGGTGCTCCAGTTTGAGTCATTTCATATGTCAACATACAAAACAAAGCAATGAAACTGCGAGACCCAATCGAGTTTCAGAAACCAAATAGTTTTATCCCAGCTGTTTTTTCTGAATTTCTAACCCAAAACTGTCACTGTGGGCTGAATATTGTCTTAGTATCTGCTGGATTTTCCTATTTTAATTGGGAGATTTCTGCACCTCTACCATCAGTTTCAGCTTAAAGAAGGACTTTCTCCTTCTTCTTTCTCCTTTCCTATGGAGATAGAAGGACCATCTCCACAGAACAGCCAGAATGTATTGAGCACACATTTATTTTTCACTGTTCATTGCGAGCTGCTCAAACTCAGGTTGTACTGCGGCTAATGTATGTAAACCTATACATGTATTACACATTGATGTACAACTGTATTTTAGACATTAGCTTATGAGATGATGCTTATGCTTCTTTTTTTTTTTAATTCTCCTAATCCTTAAATGACTCCAGAACTTCGTTTTTACATCACAACTAGCACATTTTGCATTTGAACTGCAGCCTGAAAAGCTCATAGCCTCCCTGTGTCAACTTGTGTACGTGCAATTTGGAGGTGTGCAACCCGCTCCACAGCTGGCAGACCTGTTTCAACAGATACCAACCACAATCTACAGCAGTGGGTCGCGATGCCCAGAGCAGCAGTGCAGCAATTTGCATGGATTTTTTTATTTTCTTGCAGGAAGCACATTGTGGATGAGTTGCCAGCAGATATATGACCCAGATATGCCATCCCCACATTAATGAACCCCGACAATCTCATCAAAGAAGATTTCTGCGCACACCGTCGGGGATTTGTTGCACTCCATCTTTCATAAAGGGGAGAAAACTGGGTTCCTAATTGCCAGAAGATCTACCTGAAACAATTTTATTGCGACAGTGCAGTGCTGCGGCTCATTCATGTACAACTTTATTTCTTCCTCTCTTTAACAATTTTTTTCCGCTTAAACTGATATTGTATACTTGAGATGTTTTTAGTGCCTGAACAAAATGGAAAGCAGCTGACTGAGTGATCACCTGAGGAAGGAAAGAGTCTCAAAGATTTTACTTACACAGATACTTCCTGTATCCATACCTACAGACAGCCTCCTGGTTTCTGGGTTAAAGGACATACAGGAACATGAGGCTGCAAGAAAAATGAAAGAAGAAAGTCTGTTTTAAGTCAAAATTATGTAAAATAACTTAAAACATTATGAGAGGGAAGTTCTAGTTAGTAGCAGAGTCTGAAGTCCTAGCACTCTGACTATAAAACAGATGCAAAGATCAACTTTCCTTTAGCTTCGAGCTGCGTTCAACAGGCTTACTCATCGGTCTTGAGTTCCACTATTAAGTGTGGGTCATGTGACTATAAGTAAGCAAAGTTTGCCTAACAAATGCAGAAGCACGAGACAGAACCAGAGAGAAAAAAAAGGTGACAAATGTCAAATAAAAATTCAGAAACAGTTCAGATAAAAACCAGGAGAAGAAAAAAAAAAAGAGTTAATTGTTACCAAAATAAACGGTAAAAAATAACAGGTCATCTCCAATTCTGTTCAAAACTCTACGGCTTTACTGGCAGCATAAACCGAGCGTGACCCAGATCTTCTGCGGCAGAGTGCTGTGGAAATCACACCAATGGTTTTACGCGTCTTGTGAGGCTCTGAAGCTACCACAAAAGTTAAGGTTAAGGTTAACTTAGCATCTGAAGCAGCCACAAAAAAAAACAAAAAAAACAACAACAAAAAATGCTTCAGCATCAGGAGACAAAAACGATCTGAACTTAAAAACAACAGCTCTGTTTTATAAAGTTCATTTTTATTTTGCGTCAGGAATTCGGACACAAACTCACTCACTTTTCCCCCAAAGTTTACATTTATTTTTATATATACGTGTTGAGTCTTATAAACTGTAATTAGTTCAATAATGTTACATAGATTGACTAATAGGTTACTGAAGCCTGCTATTGATTACATACGCTTATTGCTAAGCCATTTTGGGTTTTAGTAGTTTGTGTTTGAAATGTTGCAGAATAAGTAGCTGGTAAAAGTAAAAAAAAAAAAAAAAAGTAAAAGAAGCATTAAAAAGTGTTCATACATACAGCCTTGAATTCAGTGTATTTTGCATTAATTTCACATGGCAGATTGTACATGTGAGATATGTGAATAAAAGTAGAAATAAATCTGCGAATGTTCACATTTTGTTTAGTAAAAAACATAAACTTTAATGCATTTCAGTGAGGCCTTACATGTAAATAGTGCATATTTTTAAGTTGAAAGGATAACAATAAGTTACTTG